TGCATCTTGGTTGCATGTTCGAACAATCTCCGATTGTAAAAGTTGGTAAAAATCTTCTATATCCTCTTCCTTGGCTCTGGTTGTTGGTACATATATTTGAATGATAGTGGTATTCACTGGACTTCTTTGTATGCATATAGATATTAGGGTAAACTTGGCAAATGAAATCTGGAGTGTAGTGATTTTATTCCTGATTGCTTTACTAGCCACTGTCGCTCTCTGTTTATTCAAAAGTGTCTCTCCGAAATATTTTGCTGTTAAGTGAACCTAAAGCTGTCATTTCATTCTTGTCTGTCAGTTTTTGTGCTTTTATTTATCACTACTTCTTGCTTTTTGTCATATTCAGAGCTCTTATGCAATAATGTATTTTGTTTTGTTAAAGGAGAAGAATCTGGCAGGGTGAGGGTGTTTCTGAGAGGTTGATGAGGTTGGAAAAGTCAGGGTGGCCAAAATCTTGGTATCTCCTTTTGAAGAGTTTCTTTTATATTAGAGTTAGTGTAGAGCTCCTGAATGGTCAGAAATGGAGAGAATTTAAGGAGGGAAGTATCACGATTAACATTTTTGAAAGGTAAGTGATGTTGAGGAGATGATTTGAGGAAAGTACATACTTTATAAGATCTCTGCCAGTCAGTTGGCCAAGTGGTTGTTCTCCAGATTTCTTGGCACAACTTGGTGAGCACATCCAGGGCAGCATCTGTTAGTTCAAATTCATCAATTGGTATACCATCTATTCCCGGGGGTTTTTTTTGGTTTTTGGGTTTTTTTTTTCTTATTCCTTCAAAGCAGCTTGAACTTCTTCCTTCATCACCATAGACTCTTGCTTTGTATTTCATGATTTATATTTGTTCCCATTCCAAAGAAAAGTGACCCAGCAGAGTGTGGAAATTAGAGAACAATATCATTGACATCACATGCAAGCACGATTCTGCTGAAGATTATCCAAAAATGACTGGAACAGCATATCAGCAGAGAACTGCTGGAAGTTCAGGCTGGGTTTAGAAGGGGTTGTGGTCCTAGGGATATTGTAGCTAATATTAGATGGATCTTAGCTGAAAGCAGGGAATAGCAGAAGAATGTCTGTCTGTGTTTCATTGATTATCCAAAGGTGTTTGACTGTGTGGATCATAACAAACTGTGGCTGACTCTGAGAAGAATGGGAATCCCAGAACAGTTGATTGTACTAGTTTGAAACCTATACTTAGACCAGGAGGCAGTTGTCAGAACAGAGCAAGGGAACACTGCATGGTTCAAAATTGGGAAGGGTGTATGCCAGGGATACATCCTATCTCCATATATGCAGAACAGATTATCTTGGAGGCTGGGCTCTATGAGAAGTGTGGCATCAAGATTCGTGGAAGATCCATCAAAAATGTGCGTTATGCAGATGACACAACCCTGCTTGCTGAAACTGGGAGGACCTGAAGTGTTTGCTGCAGGGGGTCAAGGACTGCAGCCTTCAATATGGATTAAGGCTCAATATCAAGAAGACAAAGATTCACACCACTGGACCAATTGGCAGCATCATTATGGATGGTGGAGAGATTGAGATAGTTAGCAGCTTTAGTTTCCTTGGTTCCACAGTTCGCACTCTTGGCAGCAGCCGCCAGGAAATGAAAAGAATGTATTGCGATGGGAAAGTCTGCTGTTAGGGCCCTCTTCAGGGTACTGAAGAGCAGCAGTGTCACTCTAGAGACTAAGGTGCATCTGATACAGGCTATGGTCTTTGCACTTACCAGCTATGCATCAGAGATCTGGACAATGACTAGGGAAGAGAGAAGGAGAATTGATACCTTTGAGCTTTGGTGCTGGAGAAGAGTGTTGAATGTACCATGGACTGCTAAGAAAACGAACAGGTTTAGCCTGGAGAGGGTTAAAGCAGGCTGTTCTTTGGAAGCAAGGATTCAGAGGCTTCATCTGACATACTTTGGATATGTTGCAAGGAGGGACCAGTCCTTAGAGAGGGATGTCATGCTTGGGAGGGAGGAGGGACAGCCCAGGAGGGGAAGGCCCTCTATGAGGTGGATTGATTTAGTCAATGGGGCTCTTGGAGTGGGTGTGTGGGAGACAGTGAGATTTGCATATTACATAGCAGGGTTTAGGGCTGTTGTACATAGGGTGGCTATGAGTCACAAACACCTTGATGGCATGTAACAACAACAACAACATACTTTACATAGTATATATTAGAGTTATTGTGTACCTGCACGTAGGAGCTACCTCATAGTTGACCTTCTAGGATGTTTTTCAGGGACAGTAAATTGCATGGGAGAGGTGTGCCTATCTTTCTCCTATGGAGAAGGTGATAGATTTGAACTGCATGCCTTTGGGTTGGCAGTATGTACTAGAGTTATGTCCTTGTTGTGTACCCTAGTTGGAACCAACCCATAGCTGACCCTCTGGCGGGTTTGAGAGGCAGTAAATCGCAAGAGAGGAGATTGCTTAGCCTTCTCCTGTGGAGTGGCTGGTTGCCTCAAACCATGTGCCTTCGGGATTACAGCACAGTTTCTTGCCATCAGCAGAATAAGACTACTGTCTTATCTGGAAACCTGTTAGAAATACAGATTACTGAACCTCCCTCCAGCCCTGTTGACTCAGAAATTCTGAGGGTAGGAGATAGATGTTAGTGTTTTAATAAGCCTTTTTGTTGATTTTGGTTCATGGTGAATTTTTGACCCAACTAAGTAGCGATGTCGTTGTTGTTGTTATGTGCCATCGAGTCATTTGCGACTCATAGCGACCCTATGTACAACAGCCCTAAACCCTGCTCTATCCTGTGCCAGTCACACTGCCTCTGACACACCCATCCCGATTACCCCAGTCACTGAATCAATCCACCTCATAAAGGGTCTTACCCTCCTGCGCTGTCCCTCTACCCTACCAAGCATGATGTCCCTCTCCAAGGACCTCTCTGTCCTTACAGCATGTCCAAAGTATGTCAGACGGAGCCCCAGAATCCTTTCCTCCAAGGAGTATCCTGGTTTAACCCTCTCCAGGGTGGATCTGTTTGTTTTCTTGGCAGTCCATGAAACATTCAATACTCTTCTCCAGCACCACAGCTCAAAGGCATCAATTCTCCTTCTATTCTCCCTAGTCATTGTCAAGTAGAGATAGGAAGGCCTAATAGGGTACATCATAGTTGTAAAATGCTATTTGTATCTAGATGGAGTGATTTTGTTCATTCTAATTGCGTTCTATAGTCATAATAAAAAGAAATAGAGTAGGTATCCAGAGTCTTGTGATTTTAGTTCTTTATAGGAATGTCTAATATTGAAGAATTTTAAAAGCCAGAGTAGCTTGGTAATATACTTGGCCAAAAAAAAGGCTGTCTAGAAATAACACAAAATAAAGAAACTACTGTGAAACAGAGGTTTTTGAGTAGAATCAAAAACGCGAAATATTCTTAGTTCTGAATGCTATAGATGTTAGTTATCTATGACATTTAAGTCCACAGCAGGAAAAAGTGGTTGAGAATACTTTATAAAAGGGGATCTTGAACTCTTTGTGTAACCCAGTGGAAAGGGTGGTGGGCTTATGTGAAGATACTCTTGAGCAATCAATTCTACACAGCTCTTAAAAAGTAGTCCACTTTTGATCCATGTTAATAGATGACAGCCAATTTGCATCTAACCTAGTTTCTTTGTTTTTTTCTTAGAGGATATGAGGTTTGCAGGTTTAAATTCCAGCTTTGTTGGAATGATACTGAGTAAATCTCTTGATAATCATCATCTTTCATTTCCCTCTGTTAGCTTTTCTGGGTTACAGTAAGTATAATTAAAGCAGATACCATATTAATATCAAAATTGCTTCTTAAAAGGTAATCCTTTTTCCCCTTCAACTTTTATTCCAGGACCCGTCAGTTACACAGGTAACAAGAAATGTTCCACCAGGACTTGATGAATACAATCCATTCTCGGATTCCAGAACCGTAAGATTGTTTATTTATTAGATTAATTTTAAATCTTTAAATAAAGTAAAATAGAAAATATTTTTAAATCATAGGGTATTTTTTTATTACTTCAACTTAGGTAAAACAAGCTGTTCGTATTTTATGTAGAATTTAGCATGGTTTTTTTTTTTAATCAGGAAGGAGAGTAATAGTTATTGAAAATAGTTGTTTAGTAGTTAGTTGAAAAAGATATTGAAGGTCTTAATGAAGTACAGGAGCCAAGGTCCTCAGTATTCACTCAGTATGTAAATAAAAGTCTGAACCTTGCGAAATAGTTTGATCAGTTTTGTAAAATAGTTCAACAGTTCTGATCTGTAAAAATGGCAGTTTCATGTGATTCACTCTTATAGTAAACTGTCCCTGTGAATGTAGGAGATTGCAGTTTGGTAGTAGTTGTTAACAGGGGAAAGAAAAGCAGTAACAATTTATTTCACTTTATATAGTTTTTCTGATATGATTCCTACATCATAGAAATATGATTCTTTAAAAATTTGCTTTTGCTAACATAGATTGGAGAGTAGTTTTCAGTAAGAGATGGGTTTAACCTTTTAATAGTAGCAACTTTAAATTGCTTTTAGTTGTAGTGGTAATATTCTACATCAGCTGTTTACTTTGTGCCATAAACTTTACTTTTATTATCTTAATAAATTTTCCTAACAACCTGCAAAATACATATTTTATTTGTATTTCCTTAATGAACTACATTAGACATTTGACTGTGTGGTTCCTAACAAATTATAGCTGACATTGTGAAGAATAAGAATCCCAGAACACTTAATTGTGGTCATGTAAAACTTGTACCTGTACCAAGAAGCTGTTGTGTAAACAGAGCAAGGAAGTGTGACATGGTTTAAAATGAAAAAGGATGGGCATCAGGGTTCTCTCTATACATATGCAGTCTATATGCTGAGCAAGTCATCTTGAGAAGAAGTTGTACACTATGAAGAAGAATGTGGCATCAGGATCAGAAGATTTATAAAGAAAACTGCTTTATGCAAATGACACATCCTTGCTTGCTGAAAGTTCGGAGACCTTGAAGTGCTTTTTGCAGAAGATCAAAGTCTTCCATATGGATTACCTCTTAAAATTATAAACATGTAAATTCTTACCGCCGAACTAATAGGCAACATCATCATAGATGGAGAAAAGATTGGAACTGTCAACAACATCATCTTAACTGCATCCAGAATCAACACTTTTGGTACCACTTGTCAAGAGATAAGGAGACATATTGCATTTAGAAAGTCTGCCTTTAGGGACTTCTTCAAATTACTGAAGAGCAGTGCTGTTAGTTTGAAGACTATGGTGTGAGAACATGATCTTTTCCATAAGCAGCTAGACATCTGAGAGCTGGACAGTGAACCAGGATGGCAGATTGTTACCGTTGAGCCATAGTATTGGAGGAGAGTACTGAATATCCCATGGACTGCCAAAAGAACAAATAAATGTGTTTTGGAGGAAAAGAGGATGAAACTTTGTCTCATACTTTGGACATATTCCTAGGAGAGGCTGTGCTTTAGAGAAATGAATCATGCTTGGAACGATGGAGGATTGGCAAAAGAGAGAAGGATCCCCAATCAGATAAATTGATTTCAGTGACTGGTACAGAGACTGTAGCAATGGGCTCAGATGTGTCAGAAATTATGAAGATGGCACAGGATAGGACAGGGTCCAGATCTGTTTTTCAGAGTCACTATGAGTTGTACTTGACTTGACAACACCTAACAGCAACAACAACCCCATAATCATGAGTGTTGTCTATGTGGCCATTGCAATGAATTGTCAAACCTAGTAGAGGAATAGTTAGTGCCATGAGAATAACAGTTGATGTTAGAATTGGTAGCAAAGGTTTTAGAATGTGGAGCATGATGGAGTGACATGCTTGATCTCATTGGAATCAGCTTTGTGTTGTTGATGTTGTTTATGTTGTTGATGTTAATAGATACTTTATTCCCTTTTTGAAGTTAAAGGAGGTCAGATGCTGCTGCTTCCAAGTATGTCCTACACAGATTTTTATAAGATCAGATGATATATTTCCAGCAAACTTTTCACATATGATAAAAACAAAGTTGAGGTAATCTAAAAAAAAAATCTTTTTTTCTTATATGGTAACTTTTATTTTTCAAAACAGATATACTGAGTAATTGATTTAAGGGCTATATTAGAATTTGATCAGAGTGCTGTTGTAGCTAATTGGTTCCATTTATATTTGTGTTAGAAAAACATTGGTGACGCTGAAACTTTTGGATTGTTGCATAACATTTGGATTGTTGATGAACTACTTGAAGAAAGAAGAAACTTCAGCAGAATATCTTATGTGTCTAAAAAGTCACTAAGATTTAGAATTTCCTGCCATGTACTTACCCCCTTTTTTTATTAAAAATTTTCATTTTGGCGAGCTCTGGTGGCCTAGTGGCAGGAAACTGCACTGCAATCCCAGAGGTGCGTGGTTCAAATCCACCAGATGCTCTGCTGAAGAAGGAGGAACAATCTCCTCCTGTACCAGTCAGATCCAATTTGACGGTACACACATAAAAAAAAAAAATTCATTTTGCATTTTTCTATCTGAAATGAAAATTTAAATTATTTTAAATAGTTGAATAGTTTTAATAGTTTTTTTATTCATTCTATAGTATACTGTTAGAGAAAGGATTTGTTAAAAAACACATTATATTGCAGATTAAGTTAGTTAATTGTCTTGAAGGATGGTTGAGCTAAAATATTGACACGACCACTAACTGCATTTTTTTACAAACTTAATAAACATTAAAAACTTCAATTTTGTCATGTGAATATTGAGGATTCTGTTAGTACTTAGTCATATACTCAGAAATGTAAGTAAATATTCCTGAAGATTATTCATAAAATGGCTAGAACAGTACATCCACAGGGAACCGCCAGAAATTCAGTCTGGTTTCAGAAGAGATTGTGCAAGGATATCATTACTGCGGTCTGTTGAATTTTGACTGAAAACAGAGAATACCAGAAAGATGTTGTGTCTTAATGACTATGCAAAGATATTTGACTATGTGGATCATAACAAATTATGGCTAACAATGGGAAGCCCAGAACACTTAATTATGCTCAAGTGAAACCTATACATAGACCAAGAAGCTTTTGTTGGAACAGAACAAAGGAATATTGCAGGTTTTAAACCAGGGCAGATGTGTTATCAGGTTTATATCCTTTCTTTTTATCTCTTCAGTCTATGTGCTGCACAAATAATTTGAGAACTTGCATTATGCAGATGACAGGAACTTAGAAGACTTGAAGTACTTACTACAGAAGATCAGCCTTCAATATGGATTACATCTCAACATCAAGAAAATTATCATTGTCACCTCTGGGCCAGTAGACAGCAAACATAATAATAGAGAAAAGTTTGAAATTGTCATTGATTTAATTTTACTTGCATCCACAGTCAACATCTATGATAACAGCGGTGAAGAAATAAAACAATGAATCAAATTGGGGAAAACCTGCTGGTCATGTGCTGAACAGCAATGACAACAACAGTAACTCATTGCCATTGAGTGGGAACCCACTCATAGTAAATCCTCCAGCAGGTTTTCAGAGATTGTAAATTCCATGCAAGAAGATTGCCCATGAATAGCATGTTAACATGCCTACAAGTGAATATGGATAAATCTTGGAAAAAATATTGAATATTGTTTGTAGCAAACCTAAAATATTTTTAAAACTAACAAATAGTATAATGGCATAGGATTTTCTGATTGAGAGAATATATCTAAAGCATCTAAGGCATATATGGTACTATGGCAAATGTTCACTAATTAATAGTTACAGCCTCTCTCTCATTGTGTCAACTTAGAACCAACTCATAGCTGTCGCTTCATTGGATTTCTAAGGAAATTGCCATCTTTTCCTGGCAGAGCTGCTAGTGGATTAGATCAGCCAAAGAGGCATGAACTTTAGGATAACAGCTCAGTTCCTAACACTAGAGCTCCAATAGTTACAATAAACAACAGTAATACCCTTTGGAAACTCAGTGAACTTGGAGAAATGACAATAGTTATAGAAAGGTTTCAGGCCTTTTGTTCATAGGGTCGCTATGAGTCGTGCTTGACTAGACAATAATAAACAATACCCTTTGAGCTCTGGTGGCCTAGCATTAAGGAGCTTTGCTTCCAACACGAAGGCATGTGGTTTGGATCCACCAGCTACTCCACAAGAGAAAAATGGGAGGATCAGCTTTGGGTCAGTTCTGTCTCATTGGTGCATAACAACAACAGCAACAGTACCTTTCAGTCAAACACCAGTAGTTGAATAAGTTGGAATATTATTTGTTTTAGCAGAACAGGTAACATAGAGAATCATGATACAGCTCCATAAAAGGATTGTTGTTTATTGTTGTTATGTGCCCTCAAGTCAGAACTGACCATCAGAACTGACCAGGCCATCAGAACTCCATGGTAAGAGGATATTACATTAAAAGGGAAACTCAATTGCCCTCAGTTGATTCTTATTCATGGAGACCCCAGTGCTAACACATTAGAACTGAGCTCCGTTAGGATTTTTTAGTACTAATTTTTGTAGAAATAAGTGTTCAAACTACTAACCTTTTGACTGCTGGTTGAATGAAGGCATTTGCTCTACTCAGGGATGAAAAGAATATTAATTAAAATGTACTGCTGTTCTACTTGGCTCCAACTCATAGTGAACCTCCATGGGGTTTCTGAGATTGTAAATTGTTAACTGGAAGTAATTGCCCATCTTCTCCCTTGAAATGTTGCATGGATTCAAACTTCAGGAGATGCATAGCCTTTGTTTGAGTCATCAATAAATTATAGATTTGGGTTTTGGTTATATGATTTTGAAGAGAGTGGAAGAAAATGAGATTGAGTGCTGACAGGAATGGTTAACAAGATATCAATACTTAGTTTTGGAGAAGAGTACTGAATATCTCATGAACTGCCAGAAGAACAAAAAATACGTTTTGGTGAAAGTGCAACCAGAGT